CCTTAAGACATATGACTCTAGGTACCACATACGTGTCCATAGGTACACGATAGCTGGGGAATAGACAAAATCAAATTTCGTTTTTAAACAAAATTGCCAATTCCTTATCAGTGTATAAAGAATCTCTGCGATCGATGTTGAAGGAGAAAAAAAAGCAAGGATTGCCTGGTACCCTCTGTACCGGAAGTCAATAAAACCCAATGAGAATCGGCGAGAACAAATGTATCGTAGCTTTTTCTTTATAAAACGGCAATATACTGCAGTGTTCCAAGAGACAAGAAGAAGATAGGAAAAAAAGTAGGTTATTCGCTGGCGATCGACCACTATCAACACCAGGGCTATCGGTATCGGTAGGGTGGCTGATACATGTACGAGAAGTACTGTACCGGGGGCAGAAGAAGGATGTAAAAGAAGTGTGAGAAGAAAAATCGAAAGGCACAAAGAGGAAGTCCACGAGGGATGGGGTTGAGGTGATAAACAAAGAGGAAGACAAAAGGTTGAGTAACCGTAGCTATGGTGACACACTCGTTCACAGGCTGGCGCACAGACGATGACAAAGAGAATTGAGAGAGAGAGAGAGAGAGAGAGAGAGAGAGAGAGAGAGAGAGAGAGAGTGCGAAAGTCCCAAGATTTATTGGAGAGAGTTGAAAAGTTTCCGACCTCGACGTCAGCGTTGAACGTCGACGTCGAAGTTGGCGCCTGAGACTCGCAAGAGATGGCGGGCTTGACCGAGAAGCAAAGATAACGGCGTCATGAGGGATTCTCCAAGATTAACCCCAGGAAGGAGATAAGGATACGTCAGAAGATAAAGGGTAGCCACCTTAGTAGTAGTAGTAGTAGGGAATACAGGAACGACGTCCATACCAGGACGTCCAGAGGTCTTCCAAAAAAAAAATCAGTAACGTCAATCTGACGTTTCAGTTCAACGTCCAAAATTTCGTGACTACGAAAAAACGTTCTTTGACTTTTTGAATTTGCGCAATTTTTTTTTGTTATCACTAATAAAATTATATACTGCCAGGGCTTCGCGACGCCCCCC